TTTAAATAAAAATTTTATGTTATATTTTTCTATATTACATTTATTTATTTTATTTGTAAATGATATTGATAATGATGGTAATGGAGGTGGTAACGACGATGATGATGGTGGTGATTGCATGAGAAATAACACATTCATATAAGACGAAGGGTCTAATATTTTGCATATTAATGAAGATGAACAATAAGAAAATAAAAAACATTTTAATATGTATATGATTAATTAATTTTAATTTTAATATTATGTTTATGGGTTTAGATGTTGAAAATTGGAATTATATTAGAGCATCGAGGTAAGATCTCCATCAACAGTGCCAAGTAAGCAAAGATTTTAAAATAAAAAATTAAAAATCATAAAATCCCCATATATGTCCAAAACTCGTCCCTTTTTGTTTTTATAAATTTATTATACTTGTATTATTTTTTTTGTTATTTTTATATTTGTATATTATATAAAATTTTATTTTCTATATAATGATATGTATATTTATATATATATTTTCTAATTTTAAAAATAAATAATTTTGATATAACTATAAATACATGCATTTTTTTGTTGAATAGGAAAAAAGAGAGTATGAGGTGTAATAAAGATAATATTAAATAAAATAAAATAAAAGGAGATATTTTGATAAATATCTTGATTGCAGATGGCCTGAATTAATGTTATTCCATCTCTTTTTTTAAAATATTATTTTTACCATTTTCGTAGTTGTTTCATTTCAAATCTTTTTTCTATTTTAGTAAAAATTATCATACATTAATATCAAAATATTAACTTTTACCTAAATGTCAAATGTACCATTATGCATACAATTACTTAGTCAAATAACAAAATATCAAAATCTCTTGCACACTGATTAATAAAATATTATTATTTTCTAATCTATTACAAAAATACAAAAGCCCATTTGATGTAATATTTTAAATATAAAATTAATTTATAATATAGTATAAAAAATAAAAAATAGGTATTTAATTTAATATTTTTTAGGAGAAAAAATTTAATGAATAGTAAAAATCTTACAAAATCCTCCACGCAAACACACCCTAATGGATTTGTAATGTAATTGCCATATATATAATCGCAACATAACATAAAAACATATTCTAACAGACAATCATGCATAAATTCTGAAAAACTTGCAATTGCAGTATGCTGATATCTACACAGCACAGCACAAAATTAACTCTGTCTCAATACAATTGTTTTGTTTACTATTTTCGTCTGTCTCAAAACAATAGTCTTATTTCCATAAATAATCATATCACTATAAAACTACCTCTACTTTTTCATTTTTATTACACAATTGCCACTACATTTTACACTAATACACTCACAATACAAAATAATTTTTTATCCATGTTTTTTTACCCACTATCAATATAATATATCAATATTTCTTAAATCGTATTTCCAATCCAATTAAAACTATATTTATAGAATTGAGAGAGTATAATACAGATAGATAGATAGATAACACGTACGTATATACATAAGTGAATTACATACAGTATGTATGTACCTCACAGTTATTTATCTCTAAGACAACCAACCTCAGAGTCACTTCAAAACTTACACATACAAATAAATAGAGAAAATTGTAAAAAATATCATACACTTATACCATTGTTATATACAAAAAATAATAATAATAACTAAAAATAAGGATAGCAGAATTTTAAAGGAAGTTAGACTCGAAGTCGGGTGAAAAAAGAAAAAATTTGTGGTCAGGTCGGTTGGTCCTCGGTCGGTTGGTCAGGTCGGGAGGTCCTCGGTCGGTTGGTCAGGACGGAAAGTCCGCAGGTCGGAAGGTCCTCAAGTCGGGAGGTCCGCAGGTTGGAAGGTCCTCAGGTCGGGAGGTCGGAAGGTCTTCGGGTCGGGTGGTCCTCAGGTCTGATGGTCAGCAGGTCGGATAAGCAAGTCGGTTGGTACGTGGTCGGACCAAGTAAAGTTGGCTGCTACGGAGGTCGGGCGAAGTAAGGTCTGGTAATTGATTGCCCACTTAAGTGAACAGTAGTTTGGTCGCTTGGTGGGGGCGGTCAATGAGTCTTTTGGTCTAGCGACCAGTTAGTCGCTGGATTAGTCGATTGGGTTATGCAGTTGACAAGACGGTTGCTGTAACTGACCAGACGACGTTTCAAAACGTTTCTTTTGGGCGGTTGACGGCGGTTGTTGGCGACGGTTCCAAAGCGTCTTTTCAAGGAATATTTAAGGATTTAGATTTTTCTTCTACAATCATCTTCAATCAACTTCAACAAAGCAAATTCAGATTTGGGGATCATCACTTTAAATTTCCAGCATTTTATTTTTCAGTTAATTTCTTTATGTACCGTACAGTGTTTAGAGATTTCTAATCTCAGGCACTAATTAATCAAGTTTAAAGATATTTTCCATATCTTTGAATTTTACTTTTTTGTTTGTTGAAAAAATACATCAACAAATTGGCGACCACAGTGGGAGAAAGGCAAGATTGCTGATCCTACATTACCAGAGAATTTCATACGACTGAGGTCCGGCCGAATCGTCAAAATGATCAATATAACAGGCACACAACCTCAATCATCATCAGCGCCGGTGGGGGAAAATGTTTCACCACCAGTCATGCCAAATCCAGGGGAGATCCCTCAACCACCTATCGATTGGTTGTCGTATATTCAACAATTGAACAATCAACATACTTCAGCGATGCAGAACATATTGCGCGAGCAACAGGACATCATGTTGCACGAGCAACAAAATTTTATGCAAAAATGTTAGATCAAGCATTGTCAAGGGTTACTCTTCAACCCACCCAGACGCCGCCAGGGGTGTCACCATCAAGAATGCAAGCGAATTTTGCAGGGCCATAATATGTGGACAACACACTTCCAAGCGCCACAACTTTCAACCGAACAGATATGGGGAAGACTCCTCTAACGTTCCCAGATATTGTTCCTTTAGGACCGAGAGTTGATAATACCCAGCTGAATGAGAGGTTGGGGGAACAGGCTCATAATTCCATCCCAACTGAGCCAACTGTCCCTAGAGAAGAAGGATTGGGAGATCAAATTCATAATCCCATCCCAGACGAGCCAGCCTTCTCTAGTGAAGATTTTGTTCCACCCAGGGTAGATCCAGAGGACATCGCTCGAGTCTTGCGGGTACAGTTCGGAATGAATCCGCAAACGGTGAACCGACCGGTGTATCAGAGGCCATTTCCGAAAAGGATCATCAACGATTATCCTCTCCCGAGGAATTATCGACCGCCAAACTTTCATGTTTTCTCAGGAGAAGACGGATCCTCCACCATAGAGCATGTTGGTCGGTTCACAGCACGGTTATGAGAGATCGGTAACAACCCTTTTTATAAACTGCAACTATTTGGGTTGTCTCTTACCAAAACTGTTTTTTCGTGGTTTGTCGATCTGCCACCTGGACAAATACAAACCTGGGAAGGTTTGGAAGCGGCCTTTCATGCAAGGTTCTTTGTTGCTCTTCCAACAGTCTCACTCACAGCCTTTGGGAGATCGAGCAGATGCCGGAGGAGACCGCCTCCCAGTTCATAGAACGGATGCGATTAATGAAGGGACGTTGCCCGACAATCATTGAAGAAAGCGACATGACCACTTTGGTGGTCAAGAAAATGCACACCAACCTTCGGGAGGCTTTGACAGCCCACGATGTTCGAAATCTGGCTAGTTTAGCATCCAAGGCAGGAAGGTTAGAATCACTTTTTAAAAAAAATGATCGCAACTTTGGTCAGGAAGAAGGAGTTGAAGACATGATAGTGCAAGGTCGACCTACGTGCAGGCCCCCGCCAGTCTACGATGAATGGAGGTCGGGTCCAACGTAGCCTCGAAAGATGGAGGCCGAATTTGAGGCTGACTTCGCTTCGGATGACGTCCTGCAAACTCCTAAAACATCATTGGGAGTGATGCTTAGGAGTCTTGAGGAGGAGGCTAGTTGTTACGTACAAAAAATAATAATAAATAAATAAAAATAAGGATAGCAGAATCTTAAAGGAAGTTAGACTCGAAGTCGGGTGAAAAAGGAAAAAATTTGTGGTCAGGTCGGCTGTCCTCGGTCGGTTGGTCAAGTCGGGAGGTCCTCGGTCGGTTGGTCAGGTCGGGAGGTCCTCGGTCGGTTGGTCAGGACGGAAAGTCCGCAGGTCGGAAGGTTCTCAGGTCGGGAGGTCCGCAGGTCGGAAGGTCCTCAGGTCGGGAGGTCCTCAAGTCGAAAGGTCTTCAGGTCGGGTGGTCCTCAGGTCTGATGGTCAGCAGGTCGGACAAGCAAGTCGGTTGGTACGTGATCGGACCAAGTAAAGTCGGCTGCTACGGAAGTCGGGCGAAGTAAGGTCTGGTAATTAATTGCCCACTTAAGTGAACAGTAGTTTGGTCGCTTGGTGGGGGCGGTCAATGAGTCTTTTGGTCTAGTGACCAGTTAGTCGCTGGATTAGTCGGTTGGGTTATGCAGTTGACAAGACGGTTGTTGTAACTGACCAGGGGACGTTTCAAAACGTTTCTTTTGGGCGGTTGACGGCGGTTGCTAGCGACGGTTCCAAAGCGTCTTTTCAAAGAATATTTAAGGATTTAGATTTTTCTTCTACAATCATCTTCAATCAACTTCAACAAAGCAAAGACAGATTTAGAGATCACCACTTTAAATTTTCAACATTTTATTTTTTAGTTAATTTCTTTATGTACCATACAGTGTTTAGAGATTTCTAATCTCAGACACTAATTAATCAAGTTTAAAGATATTTTCCATATCTTTGAATTTTACTTTTTTGTTTGTTGAAAAAATACATCAACAACCATATTATCATTTTTATCTTGTATTTACCTCATTGGCAAAATATATCTCACATGTTTACAAAAATCGTTATTTATGTGCTTTGTCCGCGCTTGACATTCACACCACACGCGGCCAGAGGATAGAAATAACAACTTTTGCAAACGATATATTTTGCCAACGAAATAAATGCAAGACAAAAATGATAATGAGATATACGTGTGGGATATATTTTGCAATTTTCTCCAAATAAATACATTATCTGTAAAGTAAAGGCTAGGCGACTACTTACTACTGCATGTTTACAAGTATCCATAATCAATACACACAAGAAAATACAACTTAAACTCTTTTTATAACAACTCCTATTTGCTTACCCAAGATGCCAAATTGATTTGCTTCGCTTCTGATCCCTATGTTAAGAAAGAAAATAAACGAAGCAGTAAATATTTTGCCAATGACTTGTTAATTCACCGTTATAACAATCAAGTCGGACACATATCAGATGTTTAGAATGAACGAATGTATGTATAATAAGAGCATGTTCAATCAAAATCAAGAATTCCACCACAACTCACTTTGACAAACTAATATAAATACAATTTTCGTTATTTTTTACACATAAAATTTGCCTCCTAAACAGAGAAATCGGCACATATATAGTGCAATATTAAGCTTCAGAATTGAATTATCAAGAAGATGGAAGGAAAAGTAAACAACTATTACAGTTTCAATATCAACTTTAGTCCTACAATTAAAAACATCAATTCAACAAGTCTATTTGCAAGAAACAATGCAAGTCTAATGGTTTGAACATTAAAAGCAAAGCATATTGTTATGACAAGCTTTGTATTTAATTTGCTAGATCCTGAAACCAAATACAAACCAGACTAAAATAGAAGAACAAAAAATGACAATTTCTTAGTGGGACTAGGAATGCAGTTTACCACAAGGAAAACAACACATTGTTCTCAATATTCCCAATGAAGAAGGAATTCGACAATTAAATACAAGTTAACAGAGAAACAATTTGCATCCCTAAACCACAAGGAATTGTTCTCAATATTCCTAATGAAGGAGGAGTTAGACAATTGCATCTAACAGGTAAGTAATTTGCATCCTTAAACCAGCAAAAAGAAGAGAAAACAATTCGATTAACTATTCCCCTCAAAACCCGAAAACTACTTTCTTCCTCCTATCCTATCCAGTCCAGAACAAATCACAATCGATCAACATAAAACAAACCCATGTCTCCATAACCATAACCAGTAGGCAGATTGAATTGATTGATAAATCCATGGATTTCAAGACCAATGAGCACAACTAGTAACAAAAATTGTGAATATATTTAACATTTGCACATAGAAATAATCCCAATAGCAGGCATAGACACGACCCAGACCTAGAAAATCACAAGCAGTGAAAAGAGCATATAAATCAAGAAGCAAGCGTAGGCGATCAATCCCCTATGCTCATCCCCACAGCTAGCCAACTCGACTACCAATCGCGTGCAGACGCGTGTCGACCAGATAACGAACGCTCCGGTCAACACCATGACCGCCAAACCTCCCTGAGGCATGAACAGAGAGATCGCCGACAGTATCACGATTGGCAGCATACAGTAGCCGATTAGGCTAAGACACTTGTACAGATCCAGATTTCCGCTTCTCCCTGCGAGCATATTGAAAACGACGTACAGGAACATCGACGACATCGTCACCCAGCCCAGGATGATTCCGAAGTGTATTTTCCCGGCAAGGAGCTGAAACAGCCCGAACGCCATGAGGAAGAGGAACGGACCGAAGAGATCGGCGTCCTCGTGCAGGTGGTGCTTGATTCTGAAAGGATTGAGAACCGAGAGGGTTTTCTGGTAGATTTGCTTGGTGTTTATCCCCAGCTCTTCTAGGAGCGGGGGCTCGTCCTCGAATCCGGTTGCGCCTCCTCCGATACCGACGATGGTGGAGGGGAACTGCGGAGCCGGGGAGTAGGAGGTGGATGCCGCAGCGGAGTTGACGTCGAAGGAAAGGAAGGGGAGACCGGGAGTCGAGGAGTTCGGGGGTTGGAAGGGAGCAGTGGGAAGGCGTCGCCGCCGGTCATCGGTGGAATTCGGGAAAACCACCGGCGGTACATTGAATTGTTTCGACATGGATGAGCGAGTAGGAGGAGGACTGGAGATCGATCGGAGTAGGCTAGCGTTTGTATTTTGATTGTGCTTAGCAAATAAAGTGCAGGCAGGCTAGGGAGACTGTCTGTCTGTTAACCCAAAACATTAATAATAATAATAATATTAACAATAATAATTAAACGCGCGTCCCGAAGACATATAATAAGGTGATAGGAATTAGGATAGCTTGCGTTGCGTGGTTTTGTGGGCACACGAGAGTTGATTGGGTTTCAAATTTATTTATTTAATTTATAAGATAGTATATATTTTCTATTCTGATAATTCGATTAAAAATCTCTCCTTAATATTCATTTGAGATTCAGGGATTGATTTGAGATTCAGGGGTGGATTTAATTAGAATTTTAATGAATTTTTTTAGATCTTAAAAAATTTATAAATTTACGTGGATTTAGAAAATTCGCAGAGTCTATGCTGAGTTTGATTAAATTTAGTAATTGATTTAGATAGATTTCTACAAATTTAATTGAATTTTTTATGAATTTATATGAATTTTGTATAATTGTTAATAATTTTTTTTATGAATATATATTAATTATATAAATTTATATCAAATGCAAATTTTATACATATAATATTTTATAATTAAAATTATTAGATTTTTATAAAATAAAATTTAATATTAATAAATAATAGTATATAATTATTAATAATATAGAAATATTGTAACATCTTTATTATTATTCTTAATTTTATAATTTTAGTGGTATATTATCATTTAATATATCTGTTGAGTAAGAAAAAAATCAATGTGCAGCGTTTTCGGACTGGTGTATAGTTCAATATGTCTGTTAATGGCGGTGGGATCCTAAATGGTCTGAATATAAGCCAAACGGCCCAAGTGTTATTAAGAAATGGGTTTTTTCGGGAGAAAGCTGTGATTAGAATGAGATGGCAGACACGGAGGTCGGACAAAAGGGGGTCGGGCAAAGAAAGATGAGACGGCCGATACGGAGGTAGGTCAAAAGGAGGTCGGGCGAAGAAAGATGAGATGGCAGACACGGAGGTCGGACAAAAGGAGGTCGGGCGAAAAAAGATGAGAGGGCAGACACGGAGGTCGGACAAAAGGAAGTCGGGGGAAGAAAGATGAGACGGCCGATACGGAGGTCGGTCAAAAGGAGGTCGGGCGAAGAAATATGAGATGGAAGACACGGAGGTCGGACAAGAGAAAAGGTCTGTTAATTGGTTTGGCGAAGAAAGGTCTGTTAATTGGTCGTTTAATTAAGCGACCTGTTAATCGACTGATCGATTGGCCGGTCATTTGGTCAAACAGTAGTTGGTTCAGTCGCTTGAAAGGGCAGTCAGTTGGTCGCTTGATTGGGCGATCGATGAATCGTCTGGACGAATGGTTGTTCAGCTGTTTGAAGGGACTGAATGGTGGTCGATCGAGTGGGCGATCGATTAAATCGTCTGGATGGATTATTGTTTAGCCGATTGAAGGGACTAGATGGTGGTCGCTTGATTGGGCGACCGGTGAATCGTCTGGACGAATTGTTGTTCATTCGTTTGAAGGGACTGGATGGTAGCCGCTTGATTGGCGACCGATGAATCGTCTGGACGAATGGTTGTTTAGTTGTTTGAAGGGACTGAATGGTGGTCGTTCGAGTGGGCGACTGATTAGTCGTTTGGTCTAGCGACCAGTTAGTATATGGATTGGTCGGTTGGTCAATCGTTGGGTTATTCGGTAGGTTCAGCCGGTGGATGGTCCAGACGATTTCTCAATCGGGTGGTGATTTATGATCCGTCTGAAAAGGCGAAGGTTGTTTTCAAAGTTATAGGGTCGAGCAAACAGTTACTAAATATAAATGCGACCAAAGACAGTTTATCAAATGGTTGTAAAAATGATGAGGTTTCTCTATCGGTTATAACTGGTAGTGTACGATCTGATAACTGACTTAGAAGGCATATAAGGGAAGTTACAACCGACGAGCGGATCGAACAAGTGGAAGGCGGGCAAGAGGAGACGAAGCAGCAGGTGTACCGGTCGGACGAAAACCGGTTCTAAGACGGTTGTGAGAAGTTACAACCGGCAAACGGATATGAAAGCACGACCTGATTGTGGCGGTTGACATACGTTTTAAATAGGTCTGTTCATGACCTAAAAAAACATCTTCAATCGACATCAAATTCAGTGAATTGCTTTTGGGGATCACCATTTACTTTTACGGTCTGTAGTATTTATTTTCTTATTTTACTTATGTATCGTACGGTGTCTAGGGATTCTTAATCTCAGGCATATTATTTTATCAAATTCGAAGATAATTTCTATTTTCGGGTTTTACTTTTTATCGTTGAAAATCGGCATCAACAATATCAAATTAGTTTTATATTTTTTTTATTAGTTGTTATTATTATTATTTATATAAATTTTTTACATAAAAAAATAAATACGTATATAAATAAAATAGAAAATATAATTTAGGGATTTTTGAAAAAATATTAAAATAAATACATAAATAAATATAAATTAACGGTTCAACAAAATATATATATTTAAATATTTATTTCACCGTCATCAGAATGATAATATAGTGTATTCGATAATTATATTCGATAATTAAAAATAAAAGACGACAGTAAATTATATTTATTATGATAATAATATTTTTTAAAATTATATTTGTAATATAAAAATATATATTTAAAAAGAATTAGAATAATTTGATATTTTAGTTTTAAATTATTATTTTTATTAAAATTATAAAAATATTAATAAATATTATCATATTATTTATCACATATACAACAATAAGAACAACAACAACAATAATAATAATAGTAATAATAATAATAATAATAATTTTAAGAATCCATCAAAATCTCTTCTGAGAGATTATCTTATACAAAATTTTCACAATTTTCCATTAAAATTTATAAACTTTAAAAGTTTATGGATTGTTGAATACCTCGAGAGTTCAAAAGAATTTTTCTATTCTTTTGAATTTCGATATTTTTTTTTTTTGAATTCATACTATGTGTATATTAGTGAAATAAATATTTGAATGATGTACTTTATGTGTTTAATAAAATTAAAATGTCTCAAAAAATGGTTTATCCTAACGTCAAAGAATTTAATAAATTATTGTCCAGAGTGTTGGGTTGTATTTCTCTTTTAAAAAATATATGTTATTTGAGGATTCCAACTTACCGTTATACACTAAATGCCATAATATTTATTGATTATAATGTCAGATTGATTGTGAGTTTTTTATTTTGCGTTGATTGTTTAAACTTGGTCATATTTTTTGTGTGTGAAATGTGATTGGTTTTATATAGGTTTTTAGTAGATAGAAATTGCAAAATTGAAAATACTTTTGGAGCTCTTAAATTAATCAATGTAATAGAAAATAAAAATATGCCAATAAACATTCATATTCTAAACTTAGTCATGTAAAATTTGTGTAATGATGAAATTATCGATGTAGTTTCAAAAAATTTTATGATATGCATATGAGCTATGTCTTTCTAAATATTTTCACCTACAATTATTTGATTTTTAAATTATGTGAGTTGATGTTTAAAGTTCTTATACGCATTAGAGTACAATGATTATCTCTTTATAGTAATTACTACAATATTGTGATTATTGGATTGTGTATATAGAATAATTTTGATGGTTTGTGCTATGTTTAACAATCTTCAATATAAGAGTTTGGAACAAGATATTGTATCATATTGTCACAAAGATATGACAATTATATATTATTCAAGAAAGTTGAAATTTTCATTTAAAAATAGAATAAGACAAATTTATTTCAAATTTCATCATCTATAATATTATTACTTGTAATGACAAGTATCTTGAGAAGGTTTCATAGTTTCTAGTAATTCTCAATGAATCATCTCTCTATTATCAAAAATGATTTTACCTTAGTCTTGCTCGAGTCTCTATATTTTGGATTACAGGATGATTAGTTGAAGCTAGATCGAAATGTTGATTCGTACTAATTGGAAAATAGAATAGAAGAAAGTCATTTTCATTTGTTGCACTGAGGTTTTTTGATCCAACAACAAGAGCCTGGTTGTAGGTGAATATACAACAAACTTGGAGATTTTTCTTTTTCATCTAATTGTATATCTCAATCCAGAATAAATCTCGTGCAATAATGATTACTTTATCCATATGATCATATCATCGTATCTGAGATTATCCAAATCTTATAAAAATCTTCAACTTTATTGTCAATTTAGTCAAGTTGTTAGATGATCATTAGGATAACCTTGTCCTTCAAGCATGTATACCAATTGAAAAAAAAAAAATAGAAAAAGCGGATCTAGCACTCAACAGAAGATATCTCAAGGATAGTGTGCGCACTTGAGTTTGTGATTTGTGCATCATTCAAACAATCAAAAAAATAATAACACACAAACAACATAAAATAAAAATAGATGGAACACATTATTTGTTCACCCAATTCGGTCCAACTGTGACCTAGATCTAGGGGATACCAACCCAAGATTTATCAACTATCCTAAAGGATTTCGATAAAATATCAAAACACCAATCACACAACCCTATCCGTAAGCACTATGACTAACTTATCACCAGTATTTGAGTGTCATCAACACTCGACACGAATCACTTAGGACGCATTCTCTTGATGTTTATTGTGTCTTCACCCAAAAATCTTTTTGTAAGAACCCCAATGAAGACTAGAATCGATCTTCACTTGTTCTCCAAAATTCTACCATGAAAATTCTTCAAATATGAATAATTAATCTTTCCAAGAAACTCAAAAACCGTGTGAAAGAATCTCATGTGATATTTCCCTATAAAAATCAACAATTCTTTGAAAAATTGTGTTGAGTTTTCTCGTCTTCTTCTCTCCCAATTTTTTTTCCACTTAATTTGAATTCTCTTATCCCCAAATATTTTTTATTGTTTCCAAATTCCCAAAAACTCAATCTCATTCCAAAAATCTTCAGGCAAAACTGCACAAAATCCATCCGTAATTTCACGAAATTGCGCCAAATTTCTCGTATTTTCAAAATTGCGTCAAACTCTCTTATGGTTTCATAAACTCTGTGTTTAACCCCATCGGTCATCCTAATTTAACAGTATTTGACTTGCATGCGCTCAAATTGCGAATGAGTTTT